GCGTAGAGTAATAAAAAATTAACTGAGGGTTGCGATCCGTTGCCAGACACGGAAAAAGACAAAAAAAAAAAAAAAAAAAAAAAAAAAAGAAAGTTGAACATCTTATTTCAGTTCATCTCTCTTCTGTCATATTTCCTCTATGGCAAGAGGCAAGGCCAGGCAGCACTTTCCTCTTTCTTTCCAGAAATCTCCTTTGGCAGACCCCTGGAATGGTGAGATGCCCTTTCAGTTTTCCATGTTTCAGGAGGCAACAATGTCATACATGCCTTTTTCTCCACTTTCTAATGCCGTTTTTGTCACTGTCCTTCGGGCCCTTACCAAGGGTCTTCACACCCTTCCAGCTGGCACAGACCCTCTGCTTGAAGTCGAGCTTCTGCTTGGTCTCACAGTCAGTGCCACATATTGTAGCTTTTTTTTTTTTTTTTAATCACCACAGCACCTCATTTCCAGGCACCAAATCCTGTTTCAGAATTTTGCATAAAAAAAATGTCCCAAACTAGGCACCTTAAAACAATTTGTTAATACTTCAAGTGTGGTAAGTTAGTGACTGGGAAGGATTATGTGAAAGCACAGCTGGGCTGGTGTCCCAGAAGGCTCACTGGGGGTGCAGTGGGTGCTGCTGGAGACTCCCGGGGTCTGTCGATGAGCAGACCTACTCACAGGCTTTCCGTGTCCTTCCCCACCTGGGTGGTCTGAGAGTAGTTGCCTTTCTTACATGCAGACTGTTTTTCCCCCTAATTAACATTCCAAGAGGCACTAGTGCAGCTGCAGGACTTCTTGTAGCTCAGTCTTCATAGTCCCAAAATGACAGTTTTACCACATTCTCTTGGCCAAACAACTAAAATCAGGCAAGGTTCAAGGGGAATTAGTTTCCATCACAGTTGGAGTAGTTGGAAAAAAGTCGTGGCCTCCTTTAATCTACCAGAAATGTCATTGTTAAAATATGTTTGTTCCAAACTTGATGTAGTTTTTCGTCTGAACACTTCTTTGACTCGCACATTATTTCAAAGCGTATCATGTAATTTTCAAATATTTGAGACTTTTTGGATGTATTTTTGTCCTTTGTTTCTAATTTAATTCAATTGTGGTCAGAGAGCATATTTTATAAGATTTCAGTCTTGAGATTTATTTTATAGGTCAGTGTGTGCTCTGTCTTGGTGAGTGCTCCTGTGTTAGTCTGGTTTTTGTTATATAACTGTACTTAAAACTGGGTAACATATAAAGAAAAGAGATTATTTTTTTACTATTTTGGAGGCTGGGAAGTCCAGTGTTTAGGGGGCACATCTGGTGAGGGCCTTCTTCTTTGTGGGGGCTCTGTAGAAAGTCCTGTGGCAATGCAGGTTAACACATGGCCATAATGGCAAGAACACTTTTATGTGCTCTTCATACAAAGCCACCAGTGTATAACCATGATAACCCACTAAACCATTAATCCATTATTCCGGGAGTGGATTAATCTATTCACCAGGGCATAGTTATCACAATCCAGTCACCTCTTAAAGGCCCCACCTTTCAAGTATCATAATTGGATTTCCCACCCACTTAACACTGTTCTAATAGGGATCAAGTTTCCAACACATGAACTATTGGACACATTCACTCATAGCAGCTCCAGATTGCACTATATAAATATCAGTGAGGATGAGTAGGGAAAAATCACCCAGTTTCTCCTACTATACTCTCACAACACACTTCTGATACCAGATATGTGAGGATTTCTCTCCACACAGTAAGCAAGCAAACAGTTCTCCTGCAAACACTGGCTAGGTGTTTCTCTAATTCAAACCTGTTTTGGCACTGTCTACCTAGAGGTAGTTTCAGATCCCATAGGAATTGCTCAGGTCCCAATACTTTCCCCACTTCAGAAGCCAGTTGCAAGTCCAGGTCCTTGGAACATCTGACTATAAATTGTGGCTCCCACAAGTCCCTTCTTTCTCTTTAGGCTAGATTAATTCACTAGAGGTGGCCCCACAAACTCAGTGAAACATTAACTTATATCTACTGGTTCATTTTAAAGGCTATTTTGAGAAATACAAATAAACAGCAAGATGAGAGGTACATAGGGTATGTGTGCATGTTTTGCCTAGAGTAATAAAAAATTATCATGTCTACTTTCCAAGCACTGTTCAGACACTTAACTGAAAGAATCAATAATATATGTGTGTTTCTCTCTTTCTAAAAATACAGTAAAATTAAAAACACAGTAAATTTGGGGATGTGCATGGTATGATAAGAAAATGAGATGGAATTGTGCATTCCTTTTATACATAGTTATGCTGATTTTCATTACCTTCATGCGCTTTGCCCCAGTTTCTTATGCATTGATTATTTGCTTATGTGTGAGTTTATTTTGAATACCTGTATCTCATGATGTTGACATCATCAAATGGCTGTCACTTATGTTACTTTCTTCCAGTCAATAGGCTAAGTTAAAAGTGCCATTGTACACATTCACAGGTTCTAGTTTGTTG